TATAATTGGCCCGTGATTCTCTGCAGGATGTACAGGAAGCACGGCTAAGGAGGCCTCAGGCAACTTACAAACATGGTGGAAAGCAAAGAAGCAGGCATGTCTTACATGAGTGGAGCAGGAGGAAGAGGGCTGGGGGCAGCTACACACTTTTTACACAACCAAGTCAAGTGAGAACTGTATCATGAGAAGAGTACCAAAGGGGGAAATCCACCTCTGTGATCCAATCACTTTCTACCAGGCCCCACTTCCAAAACTGGGGATTTTAATTTGACATGAGATTCGGGCAGGGACACAAATCCAAACCATATTATTCTGTCCCTGGCCCCTCCCAAGTCTTGTGTCCTCACATTCCAAAATTCAGTCATGCCTTCTCAACAGTCCTCAGAGTCTTAACTCATTCCAGCATTAACTCACAAGTCCACAGTCCAAAGTCTTATCTGAGACAAGGCAAGTCCCTTCTGCCTATAAGCCTGTAAAGTAAAAAATGGGTTAGTTATTACTTCCAACATACAATGAGGGTACAAGCACTGGGTAAATACTTCTTTTCCAAAAGGGAGAAATTAGCCAAAAGAAAGGAGCTACAGGCCGCATGTAAGTTTGAAACCCAGCAAGGGAGTCATTACATCTTAAAGCTCCAAATAATCTCCTTTGACCCCACGTCTCACTTCCAGGGCACACTGGGGCAAGGGGTGGGCTCCTAAGGCCTTTGGAAGCTCCACCCCTGAGGCTTTGCAAAGTAAAGCCCCTGAGGCTGCTTTCATGGGCTGGTGTTCAAGCACGTGTGGCTTTTACATGTGCATGGTGCAAGCTGCTGGGTTGATCTACCATTCTGCAGTCTCAAAGATGATGGCCCTCTTCTCACAGCTCCCCTGGGTAGTGCCCCAGTGGAGACTCTGTGTGGGGGATCCAACCCCAGATTTCCCTTCCACGCTGCCCTAGTAGAGATAGAGATTCTCCATGAGGGCTCTGCTCCTGCAGCAGGCTTCTGCCTGGACATTTAGGCTTTTCTACACATCCTCTGAAATCTAGGCAGAGGCTCCCCAAGTCTTGACTCTTGCACTCTGAACATTGGCAGGCTTAACACCTCGTGGAAGCACCAAGTTTTATGGCTTGCACCCCCTGAAGCAGCAGCCTGAGCTGTATCTGGAGTCCTTTTAGCCACCCCTGGAGGCAGAGAGGCCAGGATGTGGGGAGCAGTGTCTTGAGGCTGTGCAGGGCAGTGGGACCCTGGTCCCTGTTCATGAAACCATTCTTCCTTCTTAGACCTCCATGCCTGTGATGGAAGGAGCTGCTGCAAAGGTTTCTGAAATGCCTTGGAGGTCTTTTCCCCTTTGTCTTGGCTATTAGCATTTGGCTATTCTTTACTTATGCAAATTTCTGTAGCTGGCTTGAACTCCTCCAAAAAGGCCTTTTCTTTTCTACCACATGGCCAGGCTTCAAATTTTTCAAACTCATACACTTTGCTTCCCTTTTAAATATAAGTTTCAGTTTCAGGTAATTTATTTGCTCATGCATATGAACATAGGTTGTTAGAAGCAGCAGGCTATATCTTGAATGCTTTGCTGCTTAGAAATTTCTTCTGCCAGATATCCTAAATCATCACTCTCAAGTTCAAAGTTCTACATATCCCTAGAGCAGGGGCACAATGCCTCCAGGCTCTTTGCTAATGCATAACAAAATGACCTTTACATTAGTTCCCAAGAAGTTCCTCATTTTCATCTGAGACCGCCTTAGCTGGGACTTCATTGTCCATATCACTATCAGCATTTTGGAAGCAACCATTCAACAAGTCTCTAGGAAGTTACAAATTTTCCTCATCTTCCTGTCTTTTTCTGAGCCCTCCAAATTGGTCCAACTTCTAACTGTTACCCAGTTCCACACCCAAATTCACAGTTTCAGGTATCTTTATACCAATGCCCCTTTCCTTGTTACCCATTTTCCATATTAGTTCATTCTTGCACTGCTATAAAGAAATACCTGAGACTGGGTAATTTATAAAGAAAAGAGGTTTAATTGGCTCACAGTTCTACAGGCTGTACAGGAAGCATGGCTAGGGAGGCCTCAGGAAACTTACAAGCATGGTGGAAGGCAAAAGGAAAGTAGGCATGTCTACATGGCCAGAGCCAGGAGGAAGAGAGAGAGGTGGGAAGTGCCACACACTTTTTAAACAACCAGATCTAGTGAGAGCTCTATCATGAAAACAATACCAAAGGGGGAAATCCACCCGCATGATCCAATCACCTCCCACCAGGTCCCACCTCCAACACTGGGGATTACAACTTGGCATGAGATTTGGGCAGGGATGCAAATCCAAATTATATCATAGTTCTTTCTGAAATGTGGCTCATGTAGCTTCCTACTATTTGAACTTTCCTCTTTTTCTCCTCATGTCTGCCTACCCCCTCTGTTCATACTTCACCGTCAGAATCTCTTTCTGGTTTTCTTAGTGACTTTCAAGATGTCCTCTTAACTAGGAGCAGAACCTGTCAGATATGCTAACATAACTTTATCTGCTTTCAAATTCTGTGACCTCTTATTGACTGTGAGCAACATATTTTAACTTCTGTGAGTGACAGTAGAGGAAAATTGTGATGAGCTGATGTCAGACTGCATTTTTGGAAAGCAACTAATCCTCTCTGAGCCTCCAGGAAGACATCCTCTCTCTATCAAATGCAGACTTTTAGAAATAATACTCTCTCAGCCACATATCCCACCCCGTATTATTATCACATGCCATTGCTGTCTGGTAGTTATTTATGTTCATATCATCTTGGCTAGATTGTGAACTTTTAAAAGGCAAGCCTTCTGCCTTACCTTTATATTCCCATGCATGCTTTGTATGCTTAAGTGGTTAGTCACTTAATATATTTTGAAAGAGATAATGTATCCATGTTGTTAAGTTAAAATAATCCATGGAAGGCTTCTATTACAATGACTGGCATATAGTAGATATTTAGTTAATTATATTAGAGCACTCAGTCAATATGGGGAATTTTACCTCATTTCCTCCTCTTTAATTGATTCTCCCATTTCACATACATTGTTCTTTGACTGATTTTAGGAGCCTATTTATTTATCTGTTTTTCATTTTGAAGTATTTTTTTGATTTACAAAGAAGTCACAAGACTAGCATAAGGAAATCTCACATTCCATGGATGTATGCTTAGTACATTGTATCAAGGAGGCACAAAACATCCCTTTACTGGTGGTGTTAATTTTAATCATTTGATTAAGGTGCCATCTGCCAGATCTTTCTACCATAAAGATACTATATTAGTTCATTTTCTTTTTTTTTTTTTTTTTTTTTGAGACGGAGTCTCGCTCTGTCGCCCAGGCTGGAGTGCAGTGGCCGGATCTCTGCTCACTGCAAGCTCCGCCTCCCGGGTTCACGCCATTCTCCTGCCTTAGCCTCCGAGTAGCTGGGACTACAGGCGCCCGCCACCTCGCCCGGCTAGTTTTTTGTATTTTTTTAGTAGAGACGGGGTTTCACCGGGTTAGCCAGGATGGTCTCGATCTCCTGACCTCGTGATCCGCCCGTCTCGGCCTCCCAAAGTGCTGGGATTACAGGCTTGAGCCACCGCGCCCGGCCTTTTTTCATGCTGTTAATAAAGACAAACCCAAGACTGGGTAATTTATAAAGGAAAGAGGTTTAATTGACTCGCAGTTCAATATGGCAGGGGAAGCCTCATAATCATGGCAGAAGGCAAATGAAGAGCAAAGTCATATCTTACATGGCAGCAGGCAAAGAGAGCATGTGCAGGGGAACTCCTGTTTGTAAAACCATCAGATTTCATGAGACTTATTCACTATCATGACAAAAGCACAAGAAAGACCCATCCCCATGATTCAATTACCTACCATTGGGTCCCTCCCACAACATGTGAGAATTATGGGAGCTACAATTCAAGATGCAACTTGAGTGGGGACACAGCCAAACCATATCAGATACTTTTTTTTTTTTGAGATGGAATCTCGCTCTGTCACCCAGGCTGGAGTGCAGTGGCATGATCTCAGCTCACTGCAACCTTCACCTCCCAGGTTCAAGTGATTATTCTGCCTCAGCCTCCGGAGTAACTGGGACTATAGGCACGTGCCACCACACCTGGCTAATTTTTGTATTTTTAGTAGAGATGGGATTCCACCATATTGGCCAGGCTTATCTCAAACTCCTGACCTCATGTTCCGCCTGCCTCAGCCTCCTAAAGTGCTGAGATTAGAGGTGTGAGCCGCTAACACCCAGCCCAGATACTATGTTTTTCCATTGTAGTTCATAAGTGTCTGGTGGGGAAATACTGTAAATATATTACTTCTCATCACATTTTTGCTCTCTTAAGTTTAGCATCCATTGATAATTGTTTCTTGAAACAAATTATCATAAAGTTTACCGTGTAGTGACTTTTCTAGTCACATCATTTCTTCTATATCTATTAGTTGGCATTTTACCATAATAAAGAGTTTTTCCTTCCTCTTCATTTAGCTTTTTATTCATTTGTTAACTTACATTAGTATAGAGTCATGGAATCTTACTTTGTTAAATTGATTACGCATCAGAATCATTATTTTGTTTGTTTGTTTTTTTCTTAAATTGTGCAGATGGTAAAATTGGATGGGTGGCAGGGATGGCTTTGAGTACTCCTGTTTCAGTTTGAGGGTGTGCCAAACAGCAGGCCCAGAGGATAAGCATTCATGTGGTTTACACCAGTTTAACAAGGACCAACATGAAAGAGAAAATAGTTGTAGATTACTCTAAAATATATTGTTTCCTCTCTGTTTCAGGAAATAAAAAGGGTCAGTTGGAGGTAGTTTAGTCATTAAGGCCACTACAACTTCCTCTCTTAACTCTTAGCAGCTGGAGATATTTTGCTGTAGACACAGTTTGAACATAAATGGGAAAGGAGAGTCAGTATCATTATGTTGGCACAAGATGGCAGCAGTCAGCCATTGATTTTGCAGCTCAAGGCCTACAGATTTTAAATTAATGGTGTCTTTTGTCTTCGCAGGGACTTCAGCACTAGTGCTAATAACATTCAGATTGATAAAACCAAGCCTTTGTGGCACAACTATTTCTTATGTGGACTTAAAGGAATTCAGGTAAATTGGTTTATTAGACACTTACTACCAGTTGAGATTATCATGTGTATTCTGTCAGATTTATTTTATTTACTACATCTTTTTCATCTCCTTACAGTACTAACCGATGCTTCTGTTCTATTTTGCTAGTTTGTGTTTCAGAGAGTGGGGAAGATATGACTGTTTTTGGGGTAGTGTTCACAGGGGGCAGTAGTGGTTTTCATATAGCTGGCTTTTCATAAATAGGTGCATTTGACAAACATCTGTCTGGTTTTAAAATCTTTGTTTAAACATACCTTTGAGGATATGTTTTAGTACTATTATTTACATGTATACTTGGGATATATAGAGGCATACTGTAATAGGATTTAGAGTCAGCCCAGGTTTGAATCTGGGCTCTTCCCAGCTGTGGTAATTTAACCTCTTAAGTCTCAGATTTATCCGTAAAATGATGTCATTGCTATCCTGATGAAGAGTTGTTAAAAGAATTACATAAGGCTTGATAGTAGCCATTTAATAAATGGTAGCTAGTATTGTTTTTTTTTTTTTTTTTTTTTTTTTTTTTTTTTTTTTTTTTTGAGACGGAGTCTCGCTCTGTCACCCAGGCTGGAGTGTAGTGGCCGGATCTCAGCTCACTGCAAGCTCCGCCTCCCGAGTTGACACCATTCTCCTGCCTCAGCCTCCCGAGTAGCTGGGACTACAGGCGCCCACCTCCTCGCCCGGCTAGTTTTCTGTATTTTTCAGTAGAGACGGGGTTTCACCGTGTAGGCCAGGATGGTCTCGATCTCCTGACCTCGTGATCCGCCCGTCTCGGCCTCCCAAAGTGCTGGGATTACAGGCTTGAGCCACCGCGCCCGGCCATAGCTAGTATTGTTATTGCTACTTCAGATGGGATTAAAAAAAGACGTAATGAAATGTATTAGTGTAAGTATTTTCCTAGAAACATTGAATAATTACTTTGAAAATGTCTAATGTTACATTAGAACAACAAGAAAATAAAATGTTTTCACTCTCTCTCATAGTTGAAAAAGTATCAAGGACCAAAAGAAAATTGATATTTGCTGTTTTCAGAGCCACTTTTATATTGCAATAATTATTTTAGATATAGTGACTTGTATAGAATCACAGGTAGGACAATAAGCAGTAAATTTTGCCTTTGTGAGCTAAAAGTAAACAAACAGACTGACCGGTGTTTTAGAGAGCTTGTGTTCCTTACTGCCTGGCAGTCCTATTTGAAACTTTGTAATGAGCAGCTAGGACTTAGTGGCACGTCCATTACAGAAATACATCAAATTTATTTCTAACGTGTAGTTCTATACTGTAACAGTGGTGGTTTTTGTTCTTAAAGTTAATGAATTCATTTCTTTCTTTCTTTTGTGTTTTCCTTCCTCTCAGACACATGGTAATAACTTACAGGAAAAGTTATTGGCAGGTTTTAAATCTTCAGATCATCTGGCTTATATACATTAGTAGGAATTACAGTATTTGGAAGCATTTGCCTGGCAAATGCAATTTTAATCTTCCTTGTAACAACACGCCTTTTTGCAGCATATGGGTAAAGTGGCCTAAATAATGCATGTTGCTTTGTGTTATTTTTTAGCATTTCAGGTTTTAAAGCCTTCCTGTTTGGTTTGACAACTTATGTGCAAAAGCAAACTTATCCAATAAGCTTTTGGCAGAAAGATAATTTAAATGCTAGCCTGTTCAGAAACTTTCAGATTCAAATACTAGAAAGTTTCAGAGGATAATTCGTTTATATTAAATTGAACATGTTATCCTTTTGGGATAGAGCTATTACAGAATGTGGCATATACCCATTTGCATTTTGAATTTGTTATACGTTTTCATTTAAACATTGCATGAAAAATTGTTTTTTTTTTTTTTTTTTTTTTTTTGAGATAGAGTGTTGCTCCCTGGCCCAGGCTGTAGTGCAGTGGCACGATCTCAGCTCACTGCAACCTCTGCCCACTGGGTTCAAGCAATTCTCCTGCCTCAGCCTCCCGAGTAGCTGGGATTACAGGCGCCTGCCACCGCGCCCAGCTGATTTTTATATTTTTAGTAGAGACGGGGTTTCACCATATTGGCCAGGCTGGTCTTGAACTCCTGATTTCATGACCCACCCGCCTTGGCCTTCCAAAGTGCTGGATTACAGGCATGAGCCACCACACCTGGCTGATAAGTTCTTAAGTATGATTCCCACTCAAGACACCCATGTTTGATCAGTTTATAGTTAAATATATTGTATTCTTCAAGTTTTTTTTTTTTTTTTTTTTAAACAAACTGTCTGATATTCTGTATGAAAGGGCATTGGCAACAGTACAGTTTCAGTTTATAATTTGTATTTCTGGAAGGAAATTTTTAGATGACTTGAAATCAGAAAGAGAAGTATACTCAGCTAAATTTCTTCTTAGTGTGGTATGAGAGTTTTGCTAGCTAGGACAGACAGATGAAACATTAAGGAAAAATTTTATTTGCAGAATTTTTTTGTTATTTTAGTTATTCTAGCTAGCTTATTGAAATTCTCCCTTGTATAATATGTAGATGAAATGCTTAATTAAGTAATAGTATTTCATATGTTAATCTTTAGTCATTTGAGTAATTTGCAAAGACTATGGTACTTTTTCTTGAGAAGGAGATAGACTTGAATTTATTTGTAAACTTAAACCACAAAGGTTATGATACGATATCATTCCAAAGTGTCCTAGTGTTAGAAATTTGTGTAAGTATGCTAGAGCTTTCCATATTTAAATCAGAATCTGATTATTTCTTTGAGCTTTCCTATTTGTAGAAATAGAGTTTCCTTGACTTGTTTAGGGTCTGTATTCTCATTTGTGGCTGAATTCTAATTTCACTATCTTTAAAGCTACCATATGGCTAAACTGTATCTATAAACTATAGTAAAAATCTGGATTTTCTCATCTAGCTGGCATATTAAATCACAATGACAGTTTGCTGGCTCAGGTTTCTAACTGCAATGGAGAAGTTTTCAAACAGGAATCAGAGACCTGGGCCCTACTCTCATCTCCCTGTGGGTCATCTTGGGAAAATTTCTTCATCTCTTGGTGCCTAGGTTTTTTCATAAGTAAAACAGAACTGAGAAAGTTTGGAACTCTTTTTTTTCAGAGAATCTTCTAAAGTAAGGCACTCTTTAGAAACAAGTCACTGCTTGGGGCTTGGACTTTTGTAATAACAGAATGCTGGAGATGTGCTGCACGGAGATTTAAATTACCTCATAGATAATTGTATATTTCTTGTCTTGCTACTTGGCAAGTTGAATTATAATTGTTTTATATTTTTTCCTTATTTGTTCAAATCAATCAATACTCAAGAAAAAGAACATTCAAAGCAATTTTATATTTTGTCCATATTCAAATCAATTAATATTCAAGAAAAAGAACATTCAAGGCAAGAAAATTAAAGGCATTTAAAGGAATTACCCTGTGGCCAAGAGTTGTTAAATAAAATGTCACGATTGAATTGCGCAAGTAGTTTCTATAACTATTATAAGTCTATTGATAGACTTTTGTTCTCTGGGGAATGAAGGAAGCTTTCACTACTCCTTGAATTCAATACTGAATTACTGTTGCTGTTTTTCCTTATATTCTTAGGAACACTTTGGTCTTAGTAACCTGACTGGAATGAACTGCCTGGTAGATGGAAATATCCCACCAAGTTCTGGCCTCTCCAGCTCCAGTGCTTTGGTCTGTTGTGCTGGCTTGGTGACGCTCACAGTGCTAGGAAGGAATCTATCCAAGGTAACTATGTTTGATAGGAAACCTTGTAGAACCCTCTCCTTCTAAAATCATTAGCGTCCAAATCTCAGATCAGAATGCCTTCCTTGACTGAAAAACTGTCTTCTTTAAAAGGACTGCACATGTGGGCGAGCATTGTAACTTAACAAGTGATAAATCACTATAAAGTAGCTTATACCCTCCAAACAGTGCATGAATAGATCTGTGAATAACTATATAAAAATACTTTGTATTCACCTGGCGCGGTGGCTTACGCCTGTAATCCCAACACTTTGGGAGTCCGAGGCAGGCGGATCAGGAGATCGAGACCATCCTGGCTAACATGGTGAAACCCCGTCTCTCCTAAATATACAAAAAAATTAACCAAGCGTGGTGGCGGGCGCCTGTAGTCCCAGCTACTCGGGAGGCTGAGGCAGGAGAATGGCGTGAACCCGGGAGGCAGAGCTTGCAGTGAGCCGAGATTGTGCCACTGCACTCCAGCCTGGGCAACAGAGCGAGACTCTGTCTCAAAAAAAGTAAAAAGATAAAAATATTTTGTATTAAATATGGAATTTGAATGTATGGATATAGTTTTAGATCACCTCATTAACAAGTTAAATTTAGGGCAAGAAATTCTTCCCCTCATGGTTGAGACTGCTTATTTTCACCCAAAACCTTAAATTAAAAATTTGACAAGTAGTGGGTTACAAAGGTAAAGACTAGGTAATAAAGGAACTGAATATGCTAGCAGATTAGTCACAGAAATAAACTTTAAAATATTGCATTACAAAGAGGAAATGCTTATTTAAAGGAAATATAAATTGTACAAGACGTCAGAAAGCCTCAAGTTTATAAGTTCACATAAATCTCTGACTCTGCAGTTTAGAGCAGGTGTGCTTAGCTTTAATTAATGCTTTAGCATTCTGGTTCAAATAAAATGTTATCATAGGTTCTTTTTACCCCATGTACATACACTACCACGTTTACAGATGGTTTGGGCAGATCAAGAGAAAGGCAGCCACATGCTTAGTCTCTTTTAAGCATGTTTTAACTTTCAGTTTGAAAATTTTATATATAGGAGGAAAGGCAGAAATTAAGGAGAACGCAAAGTTTCAGACAGAATCCTTCTTTTTAGCTGTCCTGTGTAAGTATACATTAATTAGCCCTTAGTAAGCAATGGCTGGTTGGGAGGGAAAGGGAGCTTACATATTATTATTATTTTTTTGAGAAGAGAAGAAGCAAGGGACAGGAAGTCCATATGTAAAATGTGTTTCCCCTGGTACAACTTTTAATCTGATTTATTTACTCATTTGTTTGTTCATCATTCAATCATTATTTATTTAGTGGCTATTTTGTGCCAGATAATGTTCAAGCCATTGGAGATATAATAGGTATAGTCTCAACTTTCATTGTGCTTATAATCTAAAAGGGAAAAGAGACAAGTAAATAGGCAACTGCAATAGAATATAGTAAGTGGATAAGTAGTTTTCTATGGGAGCAGATATAACCCAGATTTAGAGAGCATAGGACATCTAAATGGAGCCACCAACGATTCAATGAATTGTGGATATTGATGGCATAACACTGATGACATCAGATAGGCATGTATTGGGTGGAGAGAACATCATGTGGAAATGTCCAGAGTAAAAGCAATCATGGCTTTTTGGAGTAATTAAAAAATGTCTCAGTATGGCTGAAGCATACAGCAATTTGGATAACAGAGCAGGAGATCAGATGCTGGGCCTTGTAAACTTTGTTAAGGAGTTTCGGCATCATCTTCATAGCAGTGGGAAACCATTGCAGGATTTTAGGAAGAGGGTAAGGTGTTCATATCTATATTTTAGAAAGATCTCCCTGGCTATATTACAAAGTCTGCATTTCAGGGTTTTAGCAGTAGGGAGATGATTTGGTCTAGAGAAGTAGCAATGAGAATGGTTAGAATTAGATGGATTCAAGATCTCAGAATCAGTAGGACTTGATCATTGATTGGGCATGGGAATGGGGAACAGCAAAGACTCAAAGATTATATTGGTGTCTGGCTTGGTATGATTCATTGGCATAAGAGATATGGGGGAAAAATAGGTTTGAGCGGAAGCTGAAATGTTGAGTGTGAGGAATCATTGGGCATACTGATGGAGTTATTTAGTATTTAGTTATGAAAAAAATATGAAGGTCAGGAGGAGATCTGGACTTGAGATGGTGCATTTGAGAATCTTAGTTTATCATCGTTTTTGAAGCCATAGGAGTAGATCAAGATACCTGGTGGTGGAATATAGGTGGAAAGATAAGGAAAACTAGAACAGAGCCCCAAGAAACATGAACATTTGAGGAATGGGCAGAGTAAGAGATGTCCACTGAAGGGATTGAGGAGTAGTCCAGTAAGTATGAGAGAAACCAGAAAGGTGAGGCAACAGCAAAGACAAAGAAGATAATGTTTCATGAAAGGAGTGGTAGTGTTGTCATATGCTTCTGAGAGGTTACCACAAGTTCTGAGAAGTATCCGTTGACTATCACAACAAAGAAGTTGTACAAAACTTTGGCAAGAGCAGTTTTAGATGGAAATGGGTTGAAGGGTCTATAAGGGGTAAGAAAGTGGTAAAGTTCAGTGGATACAAAAAGTCTGGCGATGCATGGAAAAAGATAATTTGGTATTTGGAGGAGGGTGTGAAGTCAAGGAATTCATTTCACTTTTAATGGGAGGATTGGTGAAACTTAGTTTTTCTATTTTTCTGGTGTTTCGATAATATACATATCTAAGAAACAGGAAGGAAAGAAGATAAAGAGAAACACTTGAACCTTTGGAATTAATTCTGATTGCCTGTTTTCAAAGTCAGAAATAGCAAATACATTTTTTATCAGAGCTATCTTACTGCAGTGCCTAAGCAAAAAGCGAACAATATGTATATTCTGGCTTTCTCAGCTAGTCTAAGTTGTACTAACAATATTTATATTTTCTAAGGACTGAGCATAATTATTTGGAGAATTATTTTTTTCTGGAGTGAGACAGAATCTTGAATGAAAGGAAGTCTGTAATTTGTTCAGAGTCTTTAATTTAAATGCCATGTGATTTTACTCTTGTAAAAATCATAGGATCTAAGAACTCAAGGGACTTTAGAGATGAGCTAGTTCAAAATGCTCCTTTTACTGATGTATTAGTGTTACCACAGGAAACAAATGACATGTTAGGTATAACGGAAGAGAGTTTAATAAAGAGACTTTTACAGAGGTGTGGGTAAGGTCAAGAGAACTAACTAGCAAGGGTTCTCTTGTGAAGCTGGAAGCCATTATACTTTAGGAGCTGCGGATATAGAGTAATGTTGCCAGAAATGCAGCAAGGAGAGAAAGAATGACACAGGTGAAAATGGCAATGAGTGGGAATAGTTGAGGGGAATTCTCTATAGAGGTCAGCCTCTTGGGGTAGGGGAAGTGTGAGAATAGAGGGACAGAGGGACAACCGAAAATAACCAGCCTATTTGATAAGGACACTAAGTCCCACAACAGATTGGTGACTAAAGCCTTTCCTATTATTTTATACTCAGTAAACCCCATTCAGTTGCAGACAACAATTACTGCAGATGGGATATGATAAGTAGATGTAGAACTTATTAATTCATTAATACACTAAATGTTGCATATCTGAAACCAGAGAACAGTATGACTAATCACCCAGAGAATCTGGAAGCCAGAAATTATGAATCAGAATGTTGCTGGTACAAGAGAGTATGATGTGGTAAAAGATCTATGAAAAAGGAAAATCTAGAGACTTCTGATTTCAAGATGTCAGGATAAGACTTATCTAGTCTTTTTCTGTGTCCCTAAATTAATCTTATTAATCTTCTTTTCTCAAAAATAATTTCCAAACAACAGGGAAAATAAGAAAAGGAAACACAAGCTTTATCTTCGGTAAACCAAGGAGACATAAATAACCATAAACCACAAAATACAGAGATGGAAAGTGGATAGAGGAATGGTACATGACTTAGCAGAATGGAGAAAGGTCAGAGCCAAGTGCCTGTGGAGGGAGTTGTAGATGGAAAGGCAGCTGACTCATCCCACAGCTCTCTGGCAAGCCTTAGGAAGAAAGCAGGGTAATATGATGGGTGAGGATTTATCTGAAAGCCTTTATGAGGACTATTTAGATCCTAAAAGGCCTCTCTTCACTTGGGACCATTTCCCCCTACTGTTGCAGGAGTCTCTAGAGAAACCACCAGAGATCATTTGTACTTGGGGGCACCGAGCACTGAGAAAGGCAGGACGAGAAAGACTTGAAAACCGGGAGATTAGAGGACTTCTGCATCTGAACAGTGAAATCCTTAGCTTCATTCTTCTAGTCATTACTGGCACACTGGCAACCTCACCACCCTACACTCCAGCAGGAATGCTGGAGGATCCTTCTCAAAGGAAACTGAACCATCCCAGAGATGGTTCATACAGATACGGACATTTGGTGACCCCCTTCTCCAGCTCCTCTATGACCCTGTTAGAAGCCCATTTATAAAGCTTCTAATAAGCTTTTTAGTGACTCACTCTTAAATATGATAGGGCATCAACGGATAGTAAGATTTTGGAAGAAAACCTCCAAAATGAACCAACCAAACAAAACAACAGAAAACAGGAACCTAGAGGAAACAGAGACAATGCTGAGAGCAGAAGAATGCTTCAAAGACATGATGTCCTCAGAGAGATAAAAGAAAATGTTAAGTCCTTAAAAAGTAAGAGTGTTACTTTTTTAAAAAAGGAGCAAACAATAAGATAGAGTTTTTGCATATTAAAAATGTGATAGCAAGACAAAATTTAGCAAAAAGATTGCAATTGCTGGGCATGGTGGCTCGTGCCTGCAATCTTAACACTTTGGGAGGCTGAAGCAGGAGGATTACTTGAGCCCAGGAGTTCAAGACCAGCCTGGGTAACACAGTGAGACCTTTTCTCAAAAAAAGAGAACAGACTGGAAGAACTCTCTGATATAGTAGGGAATAAAAGAGCTGGACAATAAGAGAGAAAAGCAGGAAAATTTATGGATCAAT